GTGTGATCTCTGCAAAGATGCACAGTGGATGAAGGCGTAGCAATTGCATGAAAGAAAAATGGAAATAAAGTGGATTGTCAAAACGTCAGTGGTTCAGGGATAAAAACGGATATAATGTGGAGTAATATATGGGATGAAAATGTGTCAAAAATGATAATTGCACGAGATGGTGCATATAGGGTCATTAGATGGATAATGGTCTTGTAGATTCGAGTATCGAGAGTTTCATTGTTCCGAGATAGAATTGGTTCTTGATTATTGTCATTCGGAGCTGCATGAATGTGCCAAAGTATGCAGATCCACATGGTCGACAGGTTGTACAATGGATGACGAGCTTGCTGTGGATAATGGACTTGATGATTCTTGAGTCGAGACTTCCATTGTTCCTGAAATAGAACTGGCACTTGATGATTGATATGATGTGTGGAAATATACAGGTCCACATGGGTAACAGGTTGCACAATAAAACAATGAATGCTGCGGCAAGATCGCATGCAAAACTAGCATTGGGGATTGTGTCAAAGTATACATGATGGTTTCAGAAGGGGATTGTCAAGTAAAATGGCTGGATCAATCTTATCATGGGTAAAGTTGATTCCTTACACCAGCAAAGAAGCACTGTACTGCCAAATATCCGTTTCACACGTCAATGATCCATCAATACAAGACATAGATAGAATAGAATCATATATAATACAGGGCAATCAAATATTCTTTTACATGTGCAATCCTAAATGACAATTCTAGAATCTGTTTCCTCTATCATCTTGAAATTCTTGTTTCCTTTGTATATCATCCTCAGGAATCAAGAGTGGTGCTCTTGATAAAATAGGAGATGATCCAATATAAGTGCCATTCCCAATGATGCACCCTTTTTCTCATCCACAGCCTTATCTTGTAGTCCAATCTTGTATTTCTCATTTTCTTCAGAATCTTGACATGCTCCTGGTACTTGACAATGACCATCACAAGTCGCAGGCATAATGGGGAAGAGAGTGAGCGCTATAGTAGTGGTATCGGCTTATAGGCGATAATCGACCAAACACGCATTCTGATAGTATCCCGTGGTTGTGTAAAGTTGCTGCTGTGAGCTTGTTTGAGTCGTGAACTGTTGCTGCATTGTTGTGTAATGTCACATGGAGTTGAATTGCTGTGGCATATTCTTGCTGAGAATGTTCAATGAGTCAATAGCAGATTGCAAAAAGGAATGCTCCTGGTCACGTTCCAAACAACGAATCATGCGTTTTAACTAGAGTTTCTTGTTGCGCAGAGGGTCTGTTAACGTAAATGATGCGTCATGTGCTCTGGCAATTGTTTGATGCAGCTCATTAGAGGGTAGGGCTTGCTGGTTGACAATAAAGAAGTATAACGTTCCAAGCTGTATGCTCCTCCTAAACTTGATTTCTTTGTTAATGTTGTTGGTGTCTCCTGCAGTCAGTATCAATGGACTTTAGATTGAGCAGTGATATTGGCAGAAATGGTGCAGCGATGCATAAAATAGAGAGAGCTTGGCTGTAAGAGTAAAGGCTGTGGGTATCATGATTTACATATGTCCCTGGATCCTTACTTGTACACAGTGCATCATATCACATCTTTAGCTTAATTGCTTGACCCATCTCTATATCGTACCGTGATCATTTCTCGTATTCATTATATATATATATATACACCTAGCAATAAAGCTGCAATCAGTTACCTTGCTATCTTCCATATTCTTTCATGGCTCACCTCACCGTTTGTGTTCCATCACATTCGTACTTGCACTACTATTCCGGCTAGTAGGCATCATCATCCTTTGTTATTCCATTGTTCTCATTACTGTTTTTGCTGAAGAGCACCTACCATATCCCACCTTTCTATTCTGCTTGCATCATTCAACCAATTCTGACAATACTAGACACCTGCATTAGAATATTAGGATAAGATATGTGGTAAACTTCAATGATTGTAACCAGGGATTGGCACAGCGACTTCAATCTCATACCCTGCATAACGTATTCTTTCTCTGATACCCACTGCTATAATATGATAGCCATTGTTATAAGACGATACCCATCAACTTTATTACTTGCATGAACGAACCGCATGAATATAACTGACACCCATACTGGGCACATTCAAAGATATTAAAGTAGACTTATGGTTAAGTGAATAAACATCAGTTCCAAGATACTTGTTTTATTGTCTCTATTGTTTCTTATTCTAGTGTGGCCCCCACAAGATATATAAGCATAGTAGCATAGTCTTCACAATAAACAACAATCTCAGAGGATTTTATTTTTTGTTCCTTGACTTATCTCATGTACACCTAAGCTCTTTGTTCATTGGTGAATAGGTAGAGTTAATCCTGGTGTAGATATATGCCACTCTTGTGCTTATACACATGATGTGCTGATGTGAAAGAGCGGACTTTCGAAATTGAGCGGGGTGATCCCCCCCACTGTGGTAACCTAGCAACCCCTGGCGCTGCAATCTTTCCCCTGCTCCTTTCATGAACCGATTCTGAAATATCTTCAATCCCAAATTAAAAAGCATTGATCTTCCCAAAGAATACGGCGTTTTCACCATCGTAATCAGTGCATGTTCCGCTGCACTATAAAATCAATATGTTCCTATTACGTTATACGGTAATTTTGTCCCATTTCTAATGTGTTTCATGCCAAATTTTACCAAGGCCACCTTGGCTCAGTTGGCAGAGCGTTGGTCTTGTAAACCAAAGGTCCCGTGTTCGATTCGCGGAGGTGGCATCAATGTTTTGTGATATTTTTTGCTTTTGTCTGATAGAATTTTTGTTTTTTCCTATCGTTATAATGTCGTGATCAAAGATGGCTGCAAAGCAAGGCCAGTACAACAATTGTAGAAGATAACTTTTTACAGTGATAAAGATGATACTTTATTTTTGAA